TTTCGTCGAAGAAAATTTTCAATTTGGGACTGATCAAAAATACCTAAAGATAGTTTTGCCATAGTTTTTCAGCAAAGTTGGCTTCTTTCATGAATTTGAGAGTCACTGTTGCTGATTTAGTTTCATAAAGGTAAATAGGAAATGTTTCCTACTAAGTCTATGGCTTTTATTTCAGTATTCTAACCCACGACCATAATAAATCTTAATGAATCTGCCAAATAACGGTACAATCACATCCAATTAACTTTTTAAAAGCACACTGTCTTCGACAATTCTCCTCCATTTGCAAAATAGATTAGGGCCACTCAACTAGAGCAGTTGTCAAGTACCAGCTAAGCTGGCTAAGTATTAGATCTTTTGTGTCCATGTTATGGGTGTCATTCTCTTTAAGTAAGAACGCTTATTATACAGTTTCTGAATTCTAATCCTCTTTTCCGTTAAGTCATTTGAAAGCTCTGGATATGTTTGACAATGACGCGACTTCTGGCCCAGTTGAAATTTTTTCTTTTGAGTGACGGCCGTGTAAATAGAGGTCGGAATATCAACTACCTTTGAGCAATGTCAAAAAGGCGGCAAAAAGGTCTAATACAATATTAGTTCCGATCACAGATCCACTCAAGAAAGCGTGTTGGTGCTAAATCTCTCTCGAACTGCTATAAACATCCATGGATTAAGGGTTGATGTCTCTTCTTAATTAAATGTTTTGTGACTGTTTCAAACAATTTTCTTGATTTTGTCTTCCTTAATGTTACTTCAAAGTTAAAGCTTGTGCTTAGTGGAAGTTAGTAGGTGTATTTAGAGTGAATTCCTATTTTGTTTTCTTCAAATCCGATGATACCCTAAGTAGATGGCTCTTACTGTACATGCCGCTGGATCCGGGCAGTGTGGCTGACACCAAGCTGTATTACGGCGTTCGTTCAGTTATATGTTCTGGCACATTTAATGATGCACACTATTTTGTATGTTTATAAATTCGAGGAAAGGAGGAGATTCCTTGCAAATGAGCCAGTTTTAAAGATTACTATTGTTTAAGGTGGCAGCTAAATTCTGCTCAGTTTCAGGGCCAGCAGTTTTTCAAGAAAATCTCGAAGACAATTTTTTTCCTGTTCTTGCGAAAGTTTTCTTTCAAAATTGCTGAAGAGATTTTGAAAAAATTTGAAAAGACAGCAAACAAAAAGAGACAACAACAGAACAAAACAAAGCAAGACAAGATGAAACAAAAAAGTGACTTGACTATCCACGGTTTCTCTCTCACACACACACTTTTATTTTTATTTTCTTACATATTTACAAGATATTCCTTTGACCTGCAGATAGCAAATGCTAATCGAGGTGGGTCAATTCTTTTTTCATAGCCAACTTTATTTAATTACACTGGAAATAAAACGGAAATGAAGAAATATAACATAAAAAGACAAAAAGATACACAACAAACGAAAAAAAGAAAATGAGAGATGTTAATTGTGAAGGAGAAAAAGTCTGAGAGTTTCTAAGTGTACGAAACATATTGTAGAACTGGTTCAATTTGGTTCAATTTTGCTGTGTTTGAATTTTAATATTATATCATTAGACTCCATATAAGAATCTTCAGTTTTTGAAATATTGAGAAGAGTTCTTTTTGTTTCTTTTTTGAAGAATTAACTCGACAAATTTTTATATTCATTCGATATCTCATTCCAGACTTTCACATCAACACGCGAAAAGACCTTCTTTGCATTTTAAGCCTAGAGCACTTTAGTACGCTAAAGAGTTGTGACGTTGATGAGCGAGTAGTATATGTATGAATGTTTGAAGTTCTCGAAAAAGTTTCATGATGTTAGAAGCTGCACTGTCGTTATGAACATCGAGCATTATTTTACATGCAGCTTCATAATATTAGAAGATAATCGGCAGAGCTTTTGCATTTACAAATAAGGGATTGCATGTTGTTTTCTATCAACAAAGTAGATTAGACGTAATTGTTTCCTCGACCGAAGCGTTAACGGTATAAAATAGCCACGTTTCAAAGGACTTTCTGTTGTTTATTGATGAGTCTTTCGAAACCTATGATTACAAACAGTTTACCAGGTTATATGAACAAAGTTCAAAGAAAACGAACCACAGATTTTACATACCCGATGGCCTCAGATGTCGACTTCGGGAGGAAGTTTGCCGTACTAATGTTATTAACGGTGATTAACCTAATTAAGTAGCTATGACGTATCTAATTTTCGTCGCGGCCGAAACAGTAATACTCACTTTAGAAGTACAACAATTTTGTTTATTTGGTTTTTAGACGCATTACCCCAAGCAACGAGTCCATAAGTTAAATAAGGTAAAATAGGAATTCACAAATATTTATGAGTAGAGATGATGGAAAAAAGTGTCTCAGCCTAGCAATCATTCCCATGTTCTTACTTATTTTAGTGATAACACAGTCCAAATGGTTTTTCTAAAAAAGATTTTCATCGATTAAAACACCTAAATACTTGATGTAACTCTTATGTTCCAAACTGACCTTTCCATTTTTTTCACCATCAAATATACTTATTTGTGGAAGATAACGGATTTTCTTTCGTCTAGGGCAAAAAATTACAAGATTTGTTTTTTTTGTTTGCAAAATCAATTTATTTTTAGTTCGCAGGTCATGTAAATTGTTCAGTTCAGCATCGACCGTCTGTTCTAAGGACTAAAGGGCCTTGTCAGCATAGAGAATATTAGTGTCATCCGCAAATAAGAAAAAATTGAAGTTTATTGGAATAAAGGTAAATGTCATTTATTCTAACATGACTCGGAGCCATGTCATAATTCTAATACATCGACAATGGCCTATTTGATTTCAATAGAACTGAAAATAAGACAAATGGATAACCCTCAAGCTTCCTAACGTAAGTACTTGACAAAAAAAGACGTGTTTTTGTCTTGTCACGAGCGTAGGAAAATGAATAGCTAACGAATGCAAAGATATTTCTTCGATAGAATAAAAAGTTTTCGGGAAAGTGTCCGTTATAAAGTATTGTAAAACTCTGAGTCAAACAACAACGCCAAGGACGAGCTGTTATAAAACTATAACCCAAAAACAAAAAAGAAATCAACAAGGATTCGCACACAAGGATTTTTGGTCATTTTTCAAACCGTCCAGCCGTTTTGGGACGTGTGCATATGACGAGAGAGCGCATTTTTCCGCAAGCGAGAAAGAAATGACGTGAAGATAAAGTAATCTGAAGATAAGTTAGTACGAAAGTAAGAACGTATTAAGTAATTCTCTACTGCCCACTTACGGCTCATTAATAAACCAGTGAGGCAGATGCCGTATTTCTGCTGTCCTATTCCGTGAGGGGGATGTGTAGGAGTCACAATGTGGATGTCGGTTACCACTTCTTTGGCCAAGTATCCATTTATCACGTCTACCTTTGATTAATTTTTCTTACCCAAAAAACCATAATTGCACCACGTCAGTTGATCAATCTATACCGTTTAACGGCGTCCTTTTGGATCCTTTTTTGACCAGTTTGATGACTACTTGATGATCATGAGCGCAGTTAATTTATGTTCAGTTTCTGTAAGTTTCTGTAGTAATAGTACTTTGATAGTAAAAATTATCAAAGCACCCGAAAGGGACTCGCGATAACAATGAACAGACCTACAGAGAGCCATGATTGCGGACAATGTAGATTACATCTACGATGTAAAAGCTATTAATAGACGATCGCGATAAATACTGATATCGTCAGTAACTATGAGTCCATTACTTTCCTAAATGGATCTTCGCAATCAAAAGCACCAGTCTCTCATTGGTACATCTCTTCTTGTTATAATACGTAATTCTTTTCTTAGAATAAACTGGGTTTATAGTTAGTCAGGATAAATAATGGATGAAATGCTTTTATTAAAGCTTATCCAGCGCTGAGTGGTTGTTACTTTGGAGTTATCTATGAGGCACTTAGGACAAAGAAGGTCGGACCAATAAGAAGCGGGAAGTCGAAATGAGCCTGTTCATTTAAAAGATTAGTTCTTTAATTGATATTAGTCTTTGAACTAAAAAAAGGAAACTATGCCAAGAACTGTCACAGATCGTTTTCACACGAACGGTTAGAGGCTCTAAGTTTATTCTTACCGTATTCAGATCCAGCTTAATTTTTTGCAGCTGGTAAGAGAGCGAAAAAACAGGAAAAAGATTCGGCTGCACCTGCGCTAACAAACAAACTAATTGTCCAAGCTCCATCCTATTTGGCATACATTAAGTTGATGATTTGTGAAGGGAAGTGAGCGTAACAATAAAAATTAAGAAACGTTAAAGCAAAAGATTCTGTGTGAAGCAGTACTCAACACAAATCATCATACGTAGGATTTATACTTTTGAAAATAAAACTTATCTTTAGCAACTTTAGTATTTTAGTTTCAAACCGGTAAAAAAAATTAATCTTCACTACCATTAGATATGTTTAAATTTTTAAAACTTCTATCAGTGAGGACGAATCAGGGAGAACGTAACTTTTATAGCTGCTCGAATGTTGTGTTCTGATTACTCATTCTTTATCCTTCATCACTATTCATGAGGCGCTAAAAAGGGCTGATCGTTAATACGAAATATTTCTATTAAAATCCTTTTCCAACTGTTAAGCTCGACAGTTTCAGTTTGCACCAATTTCACGAATTTCGACTGTTAATTTTTTTCGGAAAGTACTTGTTTTGGTTGAATGAAATTTTTTATTTTATAATACGGAAATTTTAGTCAGTCCAAACAGCTGAATCGACTGTAAAGTGAAATGATGACATGGTAGTGTCTGAATAATCCAGATAAGATTTTAGGCCTAAGAATCACAGAACCATAAATATTATAATGATTTCCTATCTGTTTATTTTTCGTTTGCGATCATCATTCATGGAGACCGGAACAATCCCTTTAGCTAGCGAGGGAGAGTGAATTCAATAACTCTGATAGGCTTTGTTCTTTCAAAACACTGTCACGGGAAACTTGAATTTGAAACACAATATTTCATCGCATTTAAAACCAGATATTCTTGCAGGGTGAGAAAGTGTTGGTGAATTTATCCTCTATGATTGTAGATAAAATAAAAAGTAAATTTAATTCATTTATAATTTGGATTAAAAGACGCTTCTGTCCGATGGTAACACAAATTTCGTTTTGTACACACGACAGAGCAGGGATCTGCTAAGCAAAATATATTTTGCTTTTTTATAGTTGATATAACAATTTAAGGATTGCCACAGGTAAGAGCACTTGAAGGTGCCATAACAATGTTATTGGTTGCCTCGCTGTGTACTTCAAATTCATTCTCTCTTCTTTCGACTGCTACAATGTTGACAAATTGATCCTCAATGATAGATTTTGTGTCCCTGACGCTTCCCATGAAATACATATCCAGGTGTTTTGGATACTGGCGGTGTTCTCCGTCATAAACAGCAGGATGAACCCGAGTACGACAGGAACTTCTCCAAAACGCTGACAAACAAGAGCTATTGTTGTTAGCTGTGTAGGCAAATGAATTTCGTGGGTTCGAACTTGAACTTCCTAGACAAATTCCACACCGAAGTGTTTCTTGTAAATAGCTTACAATCATCCTGTTCCTAAATATGTATATTGCAGGAAAAAGCGATCGCTTAAGTGAAAAAATAAAATAAATGGCGAAGCCGGCGCTAAAATCAATTAACGGGTTTCCCGTGAAAACGGAGTAAAACGCAACACTTACATAGGATAATGTACAGAATAAAAACATAGTAAATAAGATTATAGCAGTTTTCGATGATCGTTTGTAGGCATCCACGGCAAACCTCTCGGCGCTACTATTTCGCGAAATGTAACTGTTCTCCAAGTTTACTTTCCGGCTGCTTCTGACGGAGTTTAGAATGCGGATGAACACGTAGTAAATGATTAAAATTGGCAGAACTAAATTGCTTGATTTGAACATAATGTTGATCATTCGAGGAGTTATTTCTGGCTCGTAAATATGAGGGAAGAACGAATAACATCTCCCTTTGCATGTGCTACTGACCAGACACCAAGGCAAGGCGGAAAGAATGGCTTGTAACCACGACCACAACACTATCATACGCGCCCGCTTTCGAGTCATTTTTCGTCTCAGTCCCTTGACTAGTATTATAAACCGATCCAGCGCGATGCCGCACATATTCAGTAGAGCAGCCACCACGAACAAGTCTTGAAATGAGAGCAGAACCCGACATACAACAAAATTTGAATAAATCAAGTCTTTTGCGAAGAGAGCGATCCAAAATGGAGCGTCTGATATGGCAGAGAGCAGATCGGAGATACACAAGCTTACCACAAGAGTATTGGTGGTCGTTCGCATTTTGAAGTTACGGCAATAAGTCAAAATGATGAAAAAGTTTCCAAGGATGGCGAGCGTGATGTTTAAAATTATCAGAAATCCTCTTGCAGGTGTTGCAAGCCCCATATTTAAGTCATCGTTGTCCTGACGAGAATCATTACTGGTTAAATTCAACGTCATTTCATTCTGTTTTCCGAACAACGTCACCATTTTCGGTGGCGTATTCGCAACTGCGACTAATTACAAGGGACAAGAAACAAGCTCACGTTGTATTAACATCACTGTTGTCTTTTTCTTGCTCCACTGTGCAAACACCAGTGAGACGCTCGATGACAGATGGAAGTTAATACCGGCAGTTTTTATGAGTAACACGCTCTGAAATAGCCTGGTGAACGCAATTTATCGTTTACGGATGAACAAAATTTAAAATCACGAAACATTCCGGACGTCGTTTGTGCATTTCTTTTCCAGAAATTTTAAAAGTGTCGTGCGCAGGAAGAACGAGTAAACATTCAAACGGCTTTAAGTTTAACATAACTAGAACGCATGCGTACTGAGAACAAATCGACGTTTTAAGCATTTATATTTGCTTTGATTTTTGAACTAAAAAAGCTCTAGATCTTATATTAAAATCAATTTTTTTGTTTTTAAACGAAGAAAGAAAACGTCATTTTAAGTGCAAATCCCTCGACCTGAAAATGATAAAAATGTAATGCATATTAAAAACGACGTATTGTACTTCACGCTATTTTTCAATCCATTAGTCACCTGTCTTCTTTACGGATGTAAAGGAGAAACAAAAGTAATAAAGCGAGCTGAGAAAAAGACGCAATAAAGTTCCACTGAGTTACAGGAAGTTTCTTGCGTGGGAAGATTGCACAGTCATCGACAGAATACGAATTTCACGCGCTCATTTAGATCTGCATGTAAATTATTATTCCAGCTATCTCCAAATGTTTAATCAATATTTTCTTGCGAATTTCCATCGGTTTATTTCTTTTCGAATATTCTTTCACATATTCCTTTCATCTTAAACACAAATATAGGAGAAAAGTAGCACACATAATGACAAAATATGAGAATATTCTTTTATTATTTATACAAAGGCGATCGAAGCGCTGTACTGGTTTTAATACCGCCCCGAGCTTTTGATGACCGAATGACGGCGACAATAAGATAAAAAAAATATTCGAGAACGCACTTGAGCTATATTTGTTGCCATAGGATGATGATGAAGTTTTACACGACGTAAACATATCTCGGAGAAAATTAATCAGATGAATAATTTGATCGGATGTGGTAGATAAAGGATATTGAAAAGCAAATAAAGGAAATACAAATCCTCGTCTGAGCTCGCTTACAAATAATTTTTCCTGCTGTTCAGCAAGCATTTACCGACATGATATAAATCACACATTGAGGATAGTACACAGCCGTGTGTGGATACGAATTTTGTCTTGCACTCTCACGAGTGAGGGAGAGAGAAAAACAGTGAGAGATATGGGCATGTATGATGTTATTGCTATTTTAAAACACAATTCAAGGAAGTAAATGATATCCAGTTTCCGTCATATGAATAAATTACAATTTTCTCCTGTCACAAAGAAAGCTGAATTCGACTTATAGAATGTTGATGAGGTACGAAAGCCAAGGTGTATCCAAGTTGACGCAAATGGTTACCTCTAAGACACCGTTAACTTCCACTGTGAGAGATAACATGAACTAGGGCATTCCTTGTAACCGGTGATGACATCTCTCGGAAACAGAAGAAATTGCTATCTAGATTTGTCTTTTATAACAAATGCAATTCTACAGAATCAGACAGGGAAGATTTGTATTAACACCTGCAATGGTTCAGAAATCTCCCTATTCTACTAACTTTATTCAATGTCCTTGAAATGTACAAAATTATAAATAAACTAAATTGATAATAACAGAAGGTGAAACCTCATTATGTGAGCAAAATCCGACCATACACAATAGGCCCTAAAAAGCAAATCTCTTTGTGAATCGAAGGTTCATTAAATATAATCCATTAATCCATCTTTCATAGAATTTCTTTACTTCACGTATCAAGTAGCCATCAGTAAGGAAACAAAATACTAAAATAAAAACAGTTCAAAAAACGGAAACAAAGGTCAGTTGTTTCGGCTCTGAAGCGCATAAAACGAGATTTTCGTGTGATTAATGATTTGTCAAACATGAAAATAGCGAATGATACAAAACATGAAAGCGAATTTAAACTGTAAACCTGGGATAAGACTAGATATAAATAATCTGTGTGGTACCAACACCCAAATGTGAGTGATCTATGATTGGTTATGGCTAAAAACGTCTCATTTCTCGTTGCAAAAGGTCTTGTGGAAGATACAATCTTTAATTTCGGCGACGCCTGTGTAAATCAGTGAGCAAATTTTTACTTTGCTTATTTCTGTCCGCTTTTTACAAATAGATCTTTGACGTCCATAATTGAACACTGAAATCACCAAGATATACTGTTAACTGTAAGAAAAACTAAGATATAAATTGAAATCTCGAGAATCAATAACTGTTTGGAGGCTTGTCTTGGATGTGCGTCTTGTGAGATGAGTTAAAATAGCAATAACGGGTGAAGAGATTCTCGTCAAGTCATACGACTCGTACATGTACTTTAGTCTTCAAGGGTTTACAAGGAAGCTTACCTGCATATATGTACGATCTACTTAAATTTAATGCAGACCTACCCACACGAACTGGTCGCTGTAGTAAATTAAATATCGCCTGCCCTCGATTCAATCGCGAGACCGAGGGAGGAAGACCTTTAGCGTATCTGCGACAAGATTGAGGAACCAACTATCCATTAACCTAAAGAGGCGACAACAGTTGCTTCTTTCAGAAAGGCCTTTCACTTACATTTTTAACGAGGTATGATGAAGTAGAACACCTAAGTCCGAATGCGATTTAACCTAGCCCATGCAGCATATTTAATTTCATCTAGTTTTTAGCTGATATTCTTATAGACCTGTCGACCAGTTTTATAATCCTCGAATACATTTTGATTCTAATTATGCTACTTTTAGGATCGAGGGCCACCAGTTCATCAGTTGAATTACTGTTGTGTGTTACCCTCCTTAAATGAAGTTTTTTGTTTGTTTGTTGGCGGTGAAAGTCAGCGAACGGGGAAGATATCATATAATTTTTTACCCTGGTATTGTTGCATCAGCACCCCACACTTTCTCCCAACCCCTATGCTCAGGCCGCCGATTGCAGACAAAAAAAGAAATATTTTCGAAGGACAGGGAGTGACTTACGAGCAATAACACTCATAACCCGGGGTCAATTCAGGGCCTGTCACGAACTCCAGTCACTCACTTATGTTTGACTCTTTCCTTTAGTCATTTGAAAATATTCTCATTTGATGAATAGTAAAAGAAAATTGCTCAGGAGGTTATTCATCAACCGGAATCATCAGTGTAAACAAAGAACGAGTTTTTTTCATGTTCCTCCCAGCCAATGAGAAGCATAATTGCGAAGAATTGAACTAGAAGTGAATTAGTAAATGTCAATAATAATGTCGGAAGAGTCAATCAAGTAAGTCGGACCAGACCTCTAAGAGGGCGTGGAAGAGCATATTCTTTTGATAAATTACATTTACTGCCCTCGCATGATACTTAGGAAGAATTGAATCATTTTACTTCTTCAGAAAACTTTGTGTCACAAGATTTAATTTTTCTGTAGACTTCTGTTTAGTTCATTGTTTTGCTGTCCTCGATCACTTCTTTTAGATTTCATTGGCGCCTATCAGCTTTTCTCTCTGACGTTTCGCACACCTTTTTAGCTCTTGCGTGAACACGGCTGTACAGAAAAAAAAAATGAACAATTAGCATTTTCGAAGCGACAAGTATGGTGATACGGATAACAGATAACAGATATTCAAACGAATTATACGATTTAGTCACTGGTACACATATTTCATATGCTCTGATAACAAAGCTGTAAGAGAGAGTTTTACCACTAGCTAATTTAGATTGTGGCAGAATATCACATTATGCAAACTTTTTTTCAGTGGACATTCCTTTATAACTACAAAGGATGAACCTATTTGTGCATTTGAAATGTCTAAGGCAGCTTACCTCGTCTAGGTATCCTATCGAAATTCTGCTCGTTCTGAGTCACTAATGTTAACCTCCCATCCACTTGAAACCGTCGTTTGCCCTTCGGCGGGAATGGACGTGGAAATGGACCGATGACACCGTCACAATCTAGTATTATAAAGGCCACGAGGACATTCAATGTCAGAACAGCTGATATCTTGGACACCATCATCCCTTAGATGTGACACTGGTATATCAAACACTGCTGGATCAGACAGAAGAAATTTTCAAGGAGCAGCCTGTCATCGGTTAATGTCATACCCGGGAAGCCATGAATCATTCAACGTCATCAAGGATTCTACTGAGTCAACTACGCAGCCGGCCAATTACTGATTTTGTAGTAACGACTTTCGTCTTAGTCAAGTGTCAAGTAGCAAAGCAGCGGTAGCAATTGTTTCAAGGTCAAGATTCCACTATCTGTAACACTGCGATGGAAACGCTGAGAAATTCCTTTCTAAAACTTTTATTTAAAAACAAACTAAAAAAGAAGATTAATTTTCGGAAAACACATCTCATCTGCAATTTTTATACTCGTTCTACGTAAATCCGACGTTTTATTTTAAGTTCTGCCAGAGGTTAACCGTTAAAAATGATTGATTTGACACGTGGCTATTTTTCCAGCTGTTATTGACTTCCATTGTATACCACCACTTCATTCATGAAATCATAAAGAAGTTGTGTGCTTAGATAATTGTTGCAAACTAGAATGATAAGAGGGGTTGAGGGCTTTTGCAGGTTAAAGAAACCCAGAATTACTGAACTAAAAAAGGCTTTTTTTAAGGTTCTTCCCTCAGGCGAAAGGAAGCTTTACTTGAGGTAACTGTCCATCCGGCAATGGATGGCGTTGGCTTTAATTAATTTAACTATGAAAAGATGGTAAGGGTTAGTTAAAGAGGAGCGAAGGTTTTCACTTCCCAGTCATATAAGAACGACAAAGGGGACTTCGTAAAATAAGGATGTGGACAGCACATCACGAAAAATAAAAACAAAGTAAAAAGATAAATAAATGAAAAGTGACATCAGTCTAAGAAGAAACCTATTCAATTCAATATCAGAAACTCCCCGTAAAATACTGGGAGAAATTCCGAAATTTCAAAAATACTTCTTATTCCATTCACCGCGCACTCATGTATTTATTTCTATGTTTATCCTATCAGTTGAGCTTAAATACGAGTTTACCTCTATGAATATTGACCCGAAGGCAATGTGCCAAAAGGTGTTAGTAATCTTCGTAAATTTCATCGGCGCACTCATGTGTAATCTCTGTGCCTGTGGCATTTCTGACCTTTTTGCTGTCAAAAAGTAACTAACGAGGAAGCTGAAGACACAGCATACTGGACTGCCATCTCTTTTAAACAGATTTCAAATTGT